AATTCCACTCACAGGAAATCTGATAGCCACAATGGGCGCGTCCAGACGAACCTGGTCACGTGTTATGTGGCACTGCAGACATGTTTGCAGCACCACATACTGCACGGTCCAGTGTTCTCCACACTGCAAGACATGCTGCCCAAGCATGCACTGCACTGTGGGTTTTTTGACCCTTGGATACCCAGGGGTAAAAAAACCTGGAGTGGGAAAACATTCTTTGTTCCCTGTGTCACTTCACTAGCTAGCTCCTCGGACCAAAGGAAATCTGTAAATTTGGGCCACAAGTGGGGGCTGCGACAAGTGGGGAGAAGTGGCTGTTTGATGATGCCTTTGTTCTCTGCAGAATGAACTTCAGCGGTCTGCTTACGGGTCTCCTGCAAAACGAAATCCTCCATTCATGGGGATTAAGGATTGTTTAATATTCTCCTGATCCTATCATTCGTGTAATTCTAGAAGCATTTTTCAAGGGCCCTTTGAATATCAAACTGGGTAACTGGAGGGACTTGGTATTAGTTAGGCAGCCTCACCATTAAATCCATTATTTCTATTCTATTTTAAAGGTGACTTTTTCCCATTTAATCAATTGGTGCTTAAAGCAGAGTCACTACTTACAACCCTCGGAATAGCCTGATGGGGTTGAGATGTGCTGCCAAAAGGCAATTTTTCTGAACAGCTCTCAGTACTTGTATGTGCCCAGAACTAGCTTTATAGAAACCACAATTCAGCACTAGTGTTAGTTGAACTGTTGATATTTAGATATTTGACTCTCTTTTTTTAAAATGGAAACTTAGTAGAGTGCCTAAAACTGTTCTGTTTCCTTAATGTTTTATATGCCAAGCAGTTAAGGAGGCTTTTCTCATCCTTGTCTAGAAACAGGTCATAAGTTGCAAAATTTGAAAGCAAATAAGTGGGAGAAAGTGATCTTGTGGTTACAGCACTGGACTGGGACTTGCCCTGTTACTGATTTCTTGTAGACAGTGTTTCAGCAAAAACTGGGGGGCAAGGTAATATTGTAATCCCACTACAGTAAAATATCACTGACCATAAGAAGTAAAAAGTGCCCATTGAGCTTCTAAAAGTAGGAATTGTTTGAGTTTGTTTGGTGACTTCAGACCCTGCACAAATGAGTTAGATAAGAAAGGAAAAAAAAGGGAAAGAAAGATTAATACTTGGTGTTTTTGGTTATCTGCTTGAATGACAATCAGCCATTGTGATGAAAGCATCTGACCAGGAACCTGCACTCATCCTTTTACTGAAATACTTTCCTTCTCTTTTCAGGTCTGGCACCAAAGAAGACAGCTGTTACTGAGGTGAGTCATACACAAATCCTTTATACATTCTGCAAACAGAGGAGCCAACACAAGTAGCTCTCCTGTTGCGCACTCAAAATGAGGGAATGTCATTTTGGGGAATCATGCTTTTAAAGCAAATCTTGGGGTTAGTGCAAATATGAAGCAGGAGAATCAGGTACTCTGTCTTTATCCAGCACAGCGATGGGGTGGGTAGGTGGTGGTAAGGTATTTGAGGAACATCTTTGACCTGAAGCAATCACATCTGGTAGGCGCAGAGGTGACTGGAGTTTATTCTTCAGCACACAGGAGGACTGGATTGGCCCTGACTGTCAGCAGTAGGGCCAGCTGTAATGGCAGATTTCATGATGATAATTCACGACTGTTTGGAACTGGAGTGAGATGCACCAATTAATTTTAAAAAAGGGCAAGTGGATGCTTGATATAGAACAAGCTCTGCGCTAGGCCACTGCACGTGCATATCACCTCTGCATTGTTGCTTTGTGCCGGCTCCAGCTGACTGTGGTTTGTAAATCCTAAGTAATTGGGGATCGGTCCCAGGGATTGGTCCTCTTTCACATCATGTAGGTTACAGTTTGCTGCGTCACTGTTGCCTTTTGGAGCTGAATTCTTCACAGCTGGCAGCAGGGATTTTTAGTAGGAGAAT